CTTACATCACACCTCTCATTGTAGGGAGTAAGAGCAGTTGAACATGGCATATGCAGGACCTAAACAGGCAAAGACTGGTTTTACTCAAAAGAGAAAAACCAAGTCACTCCATCAGGGAAAGATGCCATGGTATGCAGTTGCTCAATTATTGTTTCTTACAAGTGCTGATGCGGTAGATGAAAAACTGTTTCTTACACGCTCTCACACAGTCACTCAAACTATGTTGCTCTTCCTATAAAAAAGGAAAGGTCTCCCAGGTGGTGAAGGCTCTCAGGAATCAGTAGTGAACCTCATGTTCATGTGTGTGTACATGGGTTTGCCCTGCTCAACACAGGGGGACTTCCATGGCTATGATATTGGGAGAGGCTAATCACCTTCTCCAAGACCTAGGTCTGTTTTGCCTATTGGCTATACTTATCTCAGAAGAAAGTAACTTCTTGGGCAAACCCACAACAGCACTGAGATCCCAAAGACAGAGTAGCTTGATAATTCACATTTTCAGCAGTAAAAAGCAATGTGCTTTAACAAATATTAAGTTTTTCATGCAGAGGGGAGGGGCTTCAGCAAAACAAGCAATGCAGTCCAGAAGCCAAGGAGACCTAATGGTTTCCAGCAAGTGGAAAATCAGAAGGCAAATTCTTACTCTAAATCAGGCAGTGGAGGGATCTTAAGATGGTTCTTAATCTTAATCCCTGCTGTTTTGTGCACAATCTGAACAAGATCACTAGCCCTAGGAATGCCTATAACATTGGGTCCTGCAAGTGAAAGATGCTTGAGAACCTTGTTGGGTTTTAAGGCTGGAGTCAACAGCAACAGAAGAGCTGAGTTCTTGTCCAGCAGCATAAATTATTCCTTTCATGGAAGGTTCATACACATACAGAAATCAAGCGTGTCTGACTGACACAGCTGCTGGATAGGGTTTGAAGGGACGTGTTACAGCACCTTAGTGGGCACTTAGGCTTCTTTATGGAACTGGTTCTTTTAACACACAGTGCAATTTTATGTCCATCTCCTGTCATAGCCCAGGAGTCTCTACAAAAGAGGCCAGTTTGGGTTCCAAGCTCTTGACACTGCTCATTTAAAGAATATCAGTCTGGAAAGTCCCAAGTCAGACACTGAAGGTCAAGGCTAGATGTAACTTGAAGATGTTGACATAAAGCTGCTTGATGCAGTAGCCAAGAAAATGTGAACCCTTTTTAGCTCAGTGTTCTCAAAACTTGCCTCCATAGATAGGTAGTGACATGGGCATAGTCACTGTTCTAGTTAGCACAGCTTTTCACAGAACTTAAAGAAACTTCAGAATGTGGAGTACTGTGACCTAAGACCCACCTGCTGCAACTGGCATTGGCTAGTGGATTAGGGTAAATTCTCACAAATGAAGTCAAAATGCTCCACAGCTAATGACTCGGCATTAAATCATATTCTTCTATGGAGGAGGCTGCTATGCTTTTGTGAGGAAGGCTTTTCCAGTGAGTGATTTAAAAGGGGTAACTTGATAATGACAATAATAAAGGCATGAGAACATGGTAAAGGCTGTGCTTTTTTATAAGCCAAACTATAAAGATATTTATAAGAGTCAATACCCTTACAATCTCCAAAACACACCCACAAACAACAATGAAATGAATATGCTTAGACGCCTGCTGGACTTAATCCAGTGCAAGCTGAAATCAATGGAGGGACATCAGGGACACTGGACTGTGTCCAGAACTGAGCGAATGAAAAGCACAGCACAGAGCGATGATTCAGGCAGTCTTCTTACAGTAGGCTAAGCACATCGGACACTGGCAGACCTGGCATAGGAATTCTCAATGGAAAATCCTCAGTAAGGCAGAAATTGTCTCATTTTTGAGTTATTCTGGGCATATTTTTCAACACCAAAGCTAAGGTCTCAAAGCCATAACTAAGGCTTTCCACAGGGCTTAGTGGATTTACTGTGAGTCAGGTTTAGTATAGCATCATTCCCCTTCATTGTGAATTCTGGTATTTCCACTCTCTCACCACTGTGTTTCCAGTAAATATGTGTTAGGCAAAGACTAAAGGAAGAAAAAAAATAAAGTCTCAGTTGCTTAGAAATAAAACATATGGACAGTTTCTGCAAACAGCTTCGATGTTTGAGTGCTGAAGATCTGTACTTGGAGTGTTTCAAACGGGACTCAACAAGAGAAAACTCACAATTCTTTGTTTGCCACTGATTCTCAGTGGAGTATGCCTCCATCTGAGATTTTGGTACTTCCATGGACATTTTTAGTAGGTGTTGCATAAAGAAGACCCACCTTTGGATCTCCTAAGGATGTCCAAAAGACTTTTGTCTCTCTCCCTCTGCCTGGGACCTTGTGTGGCCTCCAGAAGTATTGCCTGCTTGTGACTAGCTGGGAAAAACTCCTTCTGCACATCTACTTGCTTCTAACCCTCTCCTTCTCCTGATCGTCTCCTGGATAATAAAGAACATCCCAGCTTGATACACCAACTCCCCAGGTTTAAATCCATGTTTGCACAGACACAGAATATGAAGTTGATAATTTAAGGGAGTTGCTATGATTCTGATGTATGATGCATGGAGCATGAGATGAGTTCTTGCTTTACTGGGAAGGATGCACTCACAGACACACACACAGCAAAATCTCCTGCTGTGACTCAGGATCAGAGCAGTGCTGCTTCTTTTCTCCTTTGTCTTCCTCTAATATAAAAGTAACACTCAGATAGACAAGGCATGAGATACTCATTCCACAGGGAGAACCCAAGAAACACGAAGATCTGTTAAAGGATGCTGATTTAATGGATACAATAATGATAAATATTATATGCACAGATGGAAATAGTCCAGAAGAGTGGTGAAATGCTGTGCAGATATGAGACAACTTGGTCACCAACTAGGAAATATGGCAAATATATTAGCTCTACAAATTATATGCCTTCTGACATCAGCTTAACGTAAGCTATTAATTTTCAGTTCTTTCCCTCTGACCTGAATAATAATGCTAATAAAATATTTACTATATAGCATAAAATATGCACAACACTGCCTTTAACTGTGTGCTTGCCAGAGAAAGTACACAGAAAAAAAAGAAACAGCTTATGAAACTTGGCTAAAACATATTCATCTAGCCTCAAGAAATGCCTCCCCTTATACAGAGCATTTCCCCTCAAGAAACTGCAGCTACTTATTCAATAATTTTATTGATGATAACTATAGTAGAGCCCCAGTAAACCTGGAAAAATGTCTTTCTTTTTTAAAGATCACATTGGGCTTATAAAATAAACAGTATGCTGCACTTAAATGGAGAGAAACCTGCAAAAGATGTACAACACCTGCCAGAATCTATGGTGTGCACTAGCCGAGTAAATTGTTAGTCTTGTATTAAGAGGTGCCCATTATAAATGTTCTTTTTTTGATGATGGGAAGCAGATGCACGAGCTCTTCTTTTACACAGATTCACTGAGGTAGAAAAGCTGTTGATTGTCAACTGATGTGCACACTCATTAGGGACTAAGTGCAGTCAGGGGCACATTTCTTCTGTCTGCAGTCAGTGCTTAACTGGCTCTCAGGTAAGGAGAAGTCTATAGTAGAGACAAGGAAGGTAGCCAGCTATTCCTTCAGGAAGCACCAAAGGAACATAGCCTCTTCTACAATACATCGCTTACAGTGCTCACAGACAAGAAACTAAGACTTCGTAACTTTAACAGGAACCAAATAAGGATTGGCACACAGATCAAAGCTGGCACCATGCCACAAGATGTGGAGTCAACCACCCTCTCTCCTCGGATCACAAGTTCTTCAGCACCCAGCCAAGGTGGTGCAGAAGTGAACTAACAAATGAGACAGAGGAGGCAGGGGAAATATTTTAGTCACCACCTGAAACACGCTGGAAAGTGACCTCACTGAAACACTTCCTCTTGAAGCTCCAAGTAGGCTCCAAGCCTTGATTCCCTGGCTTGGGCTTTGCATGTTTTCTTCATTAGAATCAGTCAGACAATGCAGGGGAAAATGGCAAAGAGATTTGTTTACACTGTACATGAACTCCCTGCTCACCTGTTACACGATTAGACGGTTACATAAACGGCCCAAGATGTCACATTCCTCACCCGGGCACTGACCCTTGAAATAATCCAGGCAACGTGACTCTGAGTAGCTGGAGGGTCTATTTGTGAGAGGATTTGCTGAGCAGGGGTGCAGCATAGAGTGTTCTTTCCATTTTATGACTGCGTTCATCAGCAGATCATCGTTTGCAGACAGAGAAATTCAGACAGCAATGATGCAGAGAGTTTCCATGTTCCATTCCAAAACTAGATCCACATCAATGGGATTCGAATAAAGTTTCCCTCACCTTCCTTTTTTCTGAGTAAACATATAAAGGGCAGTCAAGCACAAATGCACCAGCTTGGTTCCTTGATAAAAAACAAGTAGACGATGACCTTGCGTAAGATTTTCTCTCCCACTCCTCCCTCCACAGTGGTTATCTGATTTAGAGCCCACAGAAATCTGTGAAAACTTTTAACACAGATTTCAAAGAGCTTTGTAATCAGCTCTTTTCATCTATCCCATTCAAACTTGCCCAGCATTTTATACAGCACTTTGTATTATAAATCTGATGCCATACGCCTACAGACCTCAAAGCATTTTGCAGTCACTAACAGCTCACGACAACAGAAGCAAATACTATTCAATGGCTCCTGAAAAGGAATATAAGTGAGGGGAAAGGATTTATCCAGGATCATACTGAGTTAGTGCCATGACTGCAACAGGAATCCTGCTCTCTCTACCCTAAGGAATGTTTCCTCTATTTGCACGCTGGACTTGTTTCGAAAAGACTGTGAAGACAGCAGGAAGTGAACACCACCCCTACTTCTCACAGCACCTTCCTGAGAATGATTCTCACGTTCTTCTTGCTCATACATTATCAGAACATAATGTCCAATTTTCAGAAAAGGCAAAGCATCTGAATAAGGCTGACAGTAAAGCCAGCAGGGCATTCATTGATCCCCCCAGGGATACTTACCTCCCAGCTATAGGTCTTTCAAGCATAATTGTCCATTAATTCACATGACGGCACTGGTGCTGTATTCAAACATTCAGGAACAGCACAAATAGAGACCAAAATGAAAGCTAATGTTCCTTGTTATAAATCTTTATTGAGATAAGAAAAAAATATTTCAAAAAACCTCTGATATCTCCCAATCAATTATAAAGCTCTGGCCTGCAATTACAAATTTATTCCTTGTCTTCACTGAAGGCGAGTTTATACAAAATGAAATCTCATCAATTTGTAATGTGCTCCATTTTCTCATGAGATATTGGATCTAACTGATCTAGTATATTATTTCCCAGAAAAGGAGAGGCAGAAAGGGGAGGGCAGGTATTGGATTGTCTGGGGGGGGATCTCTAAGAGAAGCTGTGGGACATGATATCTTGCAGCTGTTTCAATGGATGGTCTCTCTTGCACTTTTCAAAGACAGATGATACACCAGTCAAACGGCTGCTCACTCCAAACTAGTTTACAGGAAGTCTGGGATTTAGGGAAAGGCAGCACACGGGTGATTTGAAAGCTTGCTGCAACTTCAGAGCATAAGATATAAGCCCATCTAGCAACAAATGTCAAGCTGTGGGAGAGAACAGCTCTCATTCCAAAGAACTTAACAAACCTATATGTTTGTACAAGAGTCTCTACCTTTCTGCATTTGTTCATATGCAAATGCTACAAGCTCTCCAACACAGGAACTACCTTTTCAACATCCTTGTCTTTCATTTATTTACCTGTGCCTAGTCCAACCCATGATCAATTCCTCTTGGGGCTCCAAAAGGTGACCACAATGCATTTAGAAACAACCAGCATACAGTTTAGTTTATCACATTTGGTGGCATCATATTCAATTGCAAGGATTATTTATCTCCCAAATGTAACGTTTAACATTGATATTGTTTCTTGAAAGTTTGCAAGAATAGCACTTATAAGTGTGTAGGAAATAATATGCAAACTCAATGTAAACTCCTATAAACTTATCTGCTTCACTTTATCACACATTCCCAGTCCATGAGGTTTTTGGAAGGAATAAATCAGTTCACCGTAATTTTCACAGGCCTGAATAAAATAAAAAAGCAAGATGACATTAATTTAAAAGAAATCCACCATACAGGTGAAAACCATAAACATTTTCCCTGGTTTTATTAGCACTGAAAGACAAAATCTTGCACACAACAGAACCTGACCTCAGAGATCACCAGACAGGTTGACAATGACATTACAGCTATCTGGTTTAGTTATCAACTGCCAGAGCAGATCACAAAGCTTGCAACAGGAAGAATCATTTTCTTCTTATCATGTATCCCTTTCTTAATCTAATCACTTACAGAATAGTTTACCTACTTATTTCAAATCAAAGTAGCTTTATTAAACAAAGCTGACACCTTACAAGGTAAAAGTTTCTGATAACTCTTATTGAAGCTATAACCATAATGGATTAACTGCAGATTCAGGTTTTAAAGACAGGGGACCATTACCATGGGCCAGTATCAAGGCAGTCTTTTAAAGAATACGTGTCAGAATGTAAACACACACAATCCACATGCTGTCACCAAAAACATTTTCCTTCAAAATAAAAAGAGAACAGTAAACACAAGGTTCTTAGAATACAGAAATGATGAGCTACTTTGGATTTGTTGCCTTCTTTTCTGAACCTTGCATTTTTACTTCAATTGCAAAAGTAGCCCACAGAGAGGGCATTTGTACAGATTTATCATCAGTAGGGATCTCCTAGACAGTACTAGGTAACTCACCTGGCAGTATCACTAAGATCCTGTCTTCTTCTATCTTAGCTACAGGTGTGGATAATGAAGATAGAGAATGTGTAACTTTCTGTTATTTTCTTATTTTTGCATGTTGAACTCCTGTATTCTGAAACTACCACATTTTGTGAGCAAACCCAGCAACCTAGTGTGTGAAAACACCTTCCTATAAAGCTTCAGCCTAATCACTGTCTGGAAAAGTTGTACCTCAGTCACATGGCCTCTCAAAATCATATGGATTTTCAAAATACCTTGTTGTCCTAGTTAGGACAGCTGAGACCAGTTCATCACTGGATGGGTGTAACCCAAAACTGTGTATTCTATAGCCTTCCATGCCATTTCCCAGAAACTGTTATCAATGAACCATTTACACTATCTGCACACAGAGCCTGACTCCTCAGGCTATAAACTAGGTGCTAAGAGGCCTGCGACATAGGGGTTGCTCTTGTCCTCATACCCATTAAGGACCACCCCCCCCACCCTGAGGGAGGTACTGAGCATTCCCGCCTGAACTAGAGGATATATAATCTTGGAGTCTTGGGACCTTTTTAACCACTCGTGGGATCCAGAGGAAGACTGCAGACCACTGCTCTCAACCAGACTGCAGACCACCACTCTCGACTGGACTGCAACCACCACTTTTCAACCAGACTGCAATCACCACCCTCAACCGGACTGCAACAGCACTCTCACCAACAGGTTTTCCCCTCTCCTTTTCCTTTGGACTCGGGGGGCCCAAAGAACACCACTCTGTTCATGCCCCAGGGTGCTGGGTTATATATTTGGGTTTTGTGGGTTAAAACCAATTGTTTGTCTGTATAATTGTACTTATTGTATTATTTTATTAAATTGTTATTCTGATTTATAATCTCTCTTTTGAGTTGAGTTCATTTCCCCTGCTGGTTTACCTCTAAACCAGCACACTTGTTCTACGAGGTCTTGTCAGGGGAAGCAGTCCCTAGCCTTCTGCTGTTGGGAAAAGCAATTATTCCTACCTCAGGCACCGTTACAGGCCAAGCAGGTCATTAAAAATGGCTAATGGCTTAGTCAGCCACTAAACTTTGTCACGTGCCCATGCATCCTACTACATTTTCTCATCACATTGGAATTAAACGTAAATAGCTTATGACAATCAGTCACATCTTTTCATCAAGGAAGAAAATTAGGGGAGTAATTGGGTAAAAGATGATTTATATGGCCCTTTCTGACACAGGAGCAAAGAGTTATTTTTACATCATAACAACATTAAATCCTTTCAACATAAACTAATCTAAATTTCTGCCAAGCCATAATTCTCACTTGGACTTTTCTCACATTATTATAGGTTAAAAAAGGAAATAGAAATAAATTATAGAAATATGTAGGTGTGTGGATACACAAGGGAATAGTCACTCAGTTTGTTCCCTACTCATAATAAATCTTTGTATAAAATGATAGGTCAGAATGATTTTCCATTAAAATTGATCTCATGAAACTGGAAACTGCTGTTAGCAAAATTACCCTTGGACTATAATTTTGATGGTACCTGTGCGCTCATTTTTTTCCCTTTGTCTATTTTACTGTAAAAATGTCAACCTGCTTGATCATTTTATTATGACAAAAAGGCAGCTATAGTAGGGATGAAGAAACGAAACAAAGATTATATTAAAAATAAATTACACAAAAATTAGTAACAGCTACTATTATATACAAACTAAAATTAAACTGAGGGAGAATGCTTGATGAGGAGAGAACAGGGAGTTAATCTAACTGTGGCAATGAGTGATTCACCATAGTTTTAATATGATTGATAACACTTCAGGTCCACATAAGCAATCTAAATCTGGTTCAGCTTCACAGACTGGTACAATCTAATGTGATGCTTGGTGGCTGTAGAAATCAGCTGATTATTTAAATCTAATTCCTCTCAGAGGGCAGAATTCAGTATTGTAAGGGTGCTGCTCAGGAAGCTCAGAAGACCAAGGGTTACTTGCCCAAGAAAAACCTTTCCAGATTATTTGTGCTCATCATCTAGCTTAAGGGGAAGCCTAACTGAATTATTGAACACTGCACAGCCACATCTGCCTATTATTTATATATTGAAACTGTAGTAACACCCCTCTACCAGTTAGGCAATAACAATATAAATGATGAGAATAAACAAACAACATTTCTAATCAATTCAGAAACCATTATTTCTGTCCCTGAGAAGAAATTCAGTAAATATGGTACTTTCTCATTCAACATTTATTGCCTTTCATTAACTCCAGATGAAACACAAAGTCTCTAAAAACAAAATTATATTCCCTCCATTTCCCAAATGCTGGCTCTGCAAACTCAAGCACACATTTAGCAGAAAATTAAGCCTTTCTACCAGCACCGCTCAGTGCAGTCTGCAGTTCTGTGTTATGTGACACACAGAGTTCCCTCTGTTTTTAGACGAGGGTCATGTCATGGCTGTCCATAAACCTCTGAATCTGACTAACTATCACCACAGGGTTAAAACCCAGTTCGTATCCTGCTGATTGCATGAGAAGCATATATATTCAGTTCTCTCTCTCATGAAGAAGTCTATTTGGAGAGTTAGAAGGAAGGTCAATCTGTAAATATTTATACTGTTTGTCACAACTACAATGCACACAGGACTCAGAATGCATCCTACAAACTAGTCTGCACACCACAGTAGCACTATGTTCACTTGCCATAGAAGAATGGCTCCTTCACACCCCTTTGCCACTCAGCCAAAACCTGCTGAAGAAGTCAGTCAGAAAATTAGCTTACTACCTAGCAAATGTAGGTAAGTAAAGGTTGTGTTAGGCCTGGGAAGGGAAGACATTCATATCTGGGACCTTTTAACAATGGCCGGATTTATCCTATCATGGGTAATAAACAAAGAGTAGGCAGGCAGTTCAGTTTCATAATTGCACCTCCCTGCATAATGACACCAAAATGAAAAGCAACCATGTCTCTCACTTCATACTTTGGTACCCATTCTGCCTCAAATAAAAGAGTGCCAATGGAAAAAAAGAAGCAAAATATATACTTTGCGTACAACACTCAATCAGCTATGAAAGCCTCAGCCATGGAAAGCTAGAAGTGTGGCAAAAAAGTCTTCTGTAGTTATCAATTTGGGAAAATTATATATTGAAATTTTAGAGGGGATTGTACAAAAAACCAGCTGTTAACAAGGTACTGACGGAGTGCTGTAAGGTGGAAGTCAACTACTATGGACTGCTATTTCTAGGATATTCCTCTTGCAGTACTGTGAGGCTACACAAACAGCAGTCAGGAAAAGCATAAAAGCATATGCACTACAGCATAAAAGACCTCTTCAAGTGGAAATTTGCAGCAAGAGTGGAAGAAAGCTCCAAATGTTTTTACAGCCTGCTGACTTATCACTATCATCTGACTTCAAGATTGATTTTCTACTGAGAAACT